GGGGGATAGCATACCCATCACTGTGGTAGAAGTAGAGGGTAGGAGAGAGGGAGATTATAATGTGAATGCAGAGATAATGGAAGAGGTGAAGCAGTACAGGTCTTAACTCAGGACTAGGGGTAGCCTGGGTCATTTAGTTGAGAATTATGAGATCTCTTCCTGAGTGTTAGTTAGACCAGCTGGGGTGGAGGAGAGGGCGTGTTCTGCACCTCGGGATCATTGGATGCCTATGTACACCCACTATTTGATAGCGGGGCTCAGGTTTCCAATTCCTGAGCTGCTAGTAGGTTTGCTGTTAGATTATAACATAGGGTTGACACAATTAGTCCCCAACGTTATGAGGGTAATAATAGGATTTTTAGTCTATTGCCGAGCTCAGGGGATTAATGTGCCAACTGTAAATATGTTTAAGTATTTTTTTGTTTTAAAGGGGGGTAGTAAGAGGGATAGGGGGTGGTATTATTTCACCCCTAGGGTAGCTAGTAAGGAAAGTATGTCTTTATTTACTGTGGGTCCTTCATCCATTAAAGGATGGAAGGAAAAATTCTTTTTTGTAGATGATATGGAGTGGGAGAAGGGGGATACCGAGGTGAGGGAGTTAGCATCCGGAAGGCTAAAAGAGCCAACCAGAATAGGTTTAGTTTAAATGAGGATGATAAGGAAGAAGTGAGAAAGTTGGTGAGGAAGGGGGGGGATTTACTGAACATTATGGACCTCACCAGCGCACAATGCATAGAAGCTGCTGAGCTCTATGGGCCAAGCGCTTTAAGTGAAGGTTGGTTTAATTTTGCATTGTAGTACTGAATGTAGAATATAAAACTGTGATTGATATTGTGTTTTCTTGTTTTGCAGCTGAAATGGATCAGTTTTTGAACACTGCTAGAGGAGTGGCCATCCCCAAGAAGCCAAGGAAGAAGTCAAAGACTTCAACCAAGTAAGTGGATGAGGGGAAGACTGGGAAGGAGGTAGTGCCCACTACTTCAGCTGAGGCGGAAGAGGAGGTGCCACAGTTGAAGAGGAAGGGTTGGGAGGAGAGGAGGGCACTACAGAAGAAGAAGAAGGTGGTGGAGGAGGAGGAGAGAGGGAGTGAGGTTCCCCAGTTCGTACCTCAGCCTCCTCCTGTTGAGCTGGACCCTCAGCTCAGACAGTTGGAGGAGGGGGCTGAGGTACGAGCTCCCGATAAGGGGAAAGACCCTGTTCCCCCAATGGCATTCCAGAGCAGCCTGTTCGAGGCAAAGAACATGACGGGGGCTAGGTGGTTCATCAACACCACCTTCCTCGAAGTGGACAAATGTAACACGCGGGATGAGGCTCTGAGGTATTGTGGGGCTTCAGTGGTGAAGCACGTTTTAAAGGTATGTGAAGTTATTTGCAGGTATTGGTGCTGTTTGTTTAATATTTTTCTTCTTCTCTTCTTTGTCTCTTAACTTCTGCTTTGATTTGCAAAGTGCGAGCTGGGTGAATGGTCTAGCCCAGGAGTTCATGGATAGTGTGAAGGAGCGCTCCCTCTTGCAGAGGCAGTGTGACCACTGCAGAAAGAGAAAGAGGAGCTGGAGAAGAAGAACAAAGACCTGCAAGAGGCGCTGAACGAGGTGGTTCCAATTGTGAAACAACTGGAGCAGGAGAGGGCTTCCCTGAGCACTAAGCTCGTCTTTGAGGAGAGCAAATGAAGGATCTCTGAAAGCGAGCGTGAGGCTCAGGCGAATGAAATAGCGCTGTTGAAGGATGCGTTGATGGAGCTGAAGGAGAATGTGCAGGTATTGGTACACAATGGGATGAAGGAGCACATTAGCAACTTAATCAGCTCCAGTTCGTTTGACAACATCGTCAACTTGTACCGGCTGCCCACTGCCATCATTGCCTTCACGGACTGCAAAAAGAAGGTGAAGGCTGAATATCTCGAAGTGGATATTACAAAGATCACCTTCGGAGAGCAAGAAGGAGTGGGGGAGGACGGTGAGAGCATGTCAGCAGACTTCCGTCCTCAGATCAAATTGAGGTGGGAGCATGATGCAGACGGACGTGCTGTTTTCCCTCCACAGTTCGACTTCGAGTTCGTTGCAGTGGAGGAAGAAGGGGCAGAGGTAGAGGAAGACGAAGTGGAGGCAGGAGTGGAAGGAACTGAAATGGATGAGAGCCAACCAGTTCCAGAAGTGGAAATTCATCCAGTTCCGTTTGACGATGAGCAGCCTCCTCTGCCAGACGAGCAGCAGCCAACACAACCACCTCTTCCGGCTGAGCAGGAGCCAATTAAGACACCTCCGCCAGCAGAGAAATAATTTTTGTTTTTTGATTTTTGTAAAAACATTTAAACAGTTTGTAATACCGTTGTTACCTTAAATGACAATTTCATTTTGAAATCATGTGTTTGTTTATGTTTGCTTTATATTTGTGTTATTTTTTATTAATAAAAGAATTGAGATTATTTGAGACGTGATTTGAAAGAAAGCTAACCACTTCAGAAAGGAACCAAAGGGGAGTAAGTCACTTCAGACAAATTAAGAAGAAGTAAATCACTTCAGGTAAATTAAGAACAAGTGCATTACTGCAAATGAATTAAAAGGAAATAATGCACTTCATAGGTGAAGTGACATTTATTAATCAGAAGTGAGGTTTAAGGAATGAATGGACTAATTGACCTCGGATACATAGAATAAGAGGTAAAATGAATCTCAACAATCATGAAGTAAGAACTGTAAGACATAGATCTCTTGAAAGACTTTTATTAGGGGTAAAATTTCTTCAAGTTATTGACATTCCAGACTCTAGGAACTCTCTTTCCTACAGTGTCTTAGAGGACATAGGCACCAGGATGTGGCACCTCAGCCACGGTATAAGGGCCTTCCCAATTCGAGGCGAATTTGCCAAAATGAGTTTCAAACTCTGTTAGGCCAGCTTTTCTGAGAACAAGGTCTCATACTTTGAATGTTCGAGGGCGGACTCGTTTATTGTAGAAGTTGGCTAGTTTCTGCTTGTATACAAGAGTCCGAAGCCGTGCTTCTTCCCTGACTTCGGCAAGCAGATCAAGGTTTTCCCGAAGCAACTGTCCATTTCTCCCTTCATCGAAATGGGTGACCCGGAAGCTTGGGACTCCTATTTCAACAGGAATAACTGCTTCGGTACCAAAGGCTAGGTGGTAGGATGTTTCACCTATTTGATGTAATTATATGCTTTAGAATATGCTTTATATATTATTCATATTTGATATAGGATAGAATTTTAGGTGAAAGAGGGGAATAGAATGAAAATGAAAGGAACTTGGGTTGGAAATAGTACCTATGGCAGTTAGGCTCGTTGTTCTGTATGCCCAGAGGACGTTGTTGTGCTCGTCTGCCCACTTGGCCTTGTGCTGCTCCAACCTCGATTTTATTCCTTCTAGAATGCATTTATTAATAGACTCTACCATACCATTGGACTCCGGATGGTAAACCGAGGTGAACTGCAACTTAATCCCGTAGCTAGAAAAAAAATCTCAGAAAGAAGTGCAGTTGAATTGTGTTCCATTATCAACCACAATCTGATTCGGGATCCCATATCTGTAGATGATCGAACTGAAAACAAAGTCTTCGACCTTCTTGGATGTAAGACTGGATAATGGCCGAGCTTCAACCCATTTTGTGAAATAATCCATGCCAACGATCAAATGGGTTACACCACCAACCCCTTTCACAAATGGGCCTAGAAGATCCAGCCCCCACTGAGCGAATGGCCATGGTGCTACCAAGTTCGTGAGCTCCTCTGCTGGTTGGTGAGTCAGATGCAGAAAGAATTGGCACTTTGGGTATCTCTGAACAAAGTGAGTGGCATCTTTATACATGTTTGGCCAGTAATATCCCTGCCTTAAGACTTTGTGTGCCAGAGTTCTAGCACCAACGTGGCTCCCGTAGACACCTTCATGTACCTCCCGAAGTGCACATTCGGCTTCGTAAGGATTCAAACACCGTAGAAGAGGGAGTGAAAGAGATCTCTTATAGAGGACCCCATTAACGAGTGTATGCCGAGATGCTTTCTTTCTCAACTTCATTGCCTCCTGCCTGTCTGCAGGTACTATCCCATCTCGTAAAAAGGAAATAATTGAGTCGGTCCAACACGGCGTGTCCGGATTTGTGCTGATCTCCATTATTCGTGGCTTCACGAAGCTTGGTTCATCTAAAACTTCCACAAAAACTGATCTGGAACTTGAGGAGCTATCAGAGGTGAATTTTGAGAGTGAATCTGCCTGTTCATTCTCAGTTCGTGGACTTTTGCTCAGACAGAATTTCTGGAATTTGCACTTCAACTCAGCCACCAGGGCTACATATTTCACCATCACAGGATCAACGACTTCACAGATCGAGTTGGTTTGGTTCACCACCAGCTGGGAGTCACTGTATACTTGGATTGCACTAATTTTCAACTCCAATGCTAGCTGTAGACCAAGCAGCAGAGCTTCATACTCAGCCATGTTGTTTGTTGCATCGAAGTTAAATTTTAGGGCATGTTCACTTTGGTATCCATCTGGGCCAATCAAGAGAGCACCAGCTCCTGAACCCTTGCTACTAGATGCCTCATCAACATATAAGGTCCAGTCGTTTGGTTCTGGATTGGGGGTTGAATGACCCGGAGTGCACTCTACAATAAAATCTGCCAGTGCTTGAGCTTAGATTGCAGATCTCTGTTGAAATGTTATTTCGAATTCCCCCAGTTCTACTGCCCACTTAATCAATCTTCCAAAACACTCTGGCTTTTGCAGAATCTATCAAAGAGGTTGGTCTGTAAGGACAATGATTGGATGTGACTGGAAATACAGTCTCAGTTTCCTGGCCGAAGTGACAACTGCTAAGGCTGCTTTCTCAGCAATGGAATATCTGACTTCAGCTCCATGTAACACGCTACTGATGTAGTAAACTGGTTTCTGTTGCTTTCCCTATTCCCTTACTAACACAGAACTAATGGCCTCATTTGATATCCCGAGGTACAAGTAAAGGATTTCTCCATCATCAGCCTTTGTCAACAAGGGAGGTAAGCTAAGATAAGACTTCAGCTCGTCAAATGCAGCTTGACATTCTGAATTCCATGCAAACTTCTTTTGTTTGCCAGATTCATCCTTTTGAGCTGCTAATCTCATGATCTTGAAGAATGGCAAGCATTTATCTGCTAATTTCGAAATGAATCTATGACGAGCTGCTACTCTCCCCGTCAACCTTTGCACATCTTTCACTGACTTTGGTGGTTCCATCTCGGCTACTGCTTTGATCTTCTCAGGGTTGACCTCAATCCCCCTTCTGGACACCATGAGGCCTAGAAATTTTCCTGACTCTACCCCGAAAATACACTTTGCTGGATTTAACCTCATCTTGTTCTTTCTGAGGTTGTTGAACGTCTCCTCAAGGTCGATTAAGTGATCTCCAACTTTCAAACTTTTCACAACTATATCATCAACATATACCTCTAGATTTCGGCCTATTTGAGCTCGAAATACGATGGTAACCATCTTCTGGTAATTGGCACCTGCGTTCTTCAAGCCGAAGGGCATCATTACATAGCAATAGATTTCATCACCAGCATAGAACGAGATTTTATCTGCATCCTCAAGAGCCATTGGAACCTGGTGGTAGCCAGAGTATGCATCCAAGAGACTTAATCTCTCGTTTCCAGAAGCTGCCTCAACCAGCTTGTCAATGTTTGGCATTGGGTAACAGTATTTGGACATGCGTCGTTGAGGTTAGTGTAATCGATGCACATTCGCCATTTACCGTTTGCTTTTTTTACCAACACAGGATTGGCGACCCATTCACAGTAATCGACCCTCCTAACAAAGCCAGCTTATGGGAGTTTCTCAACTTCTTCTTTAATGACCTGTAACCTCTCCCCCCTAAAGAGGTGCCGCTTTTGGGCTACTGGTTTCTTGAGTGGATTGGTACTAAGTTTATGTTGAGAAACCGAAGTGGGAATTCCCGGCATATCTGCTGAAGTCCATGCAAAAACATCTTTGTTGGCCCGAAGGAAAGCTATTAGCTTTGCTTTTTCCTCCGAGTTCAACTTAGTTCCAATTTGTGTTTTTCGACTCGGATCTCTGTCATCAATGTGCACTTCTTCAACATCCTCAACTGGGGCAGCTTTGGTTTCATCTTCCGGTCGGTTATCTACGATCTCAACACCCATGACTTGCTGATTGTCAGAAATCTGTTGGGGAACGAGTTTAGGTATCTAATCTTTGCACTTTTTAGGTTGTGTTACCGAGGTGATATAGCAATGTCTAGTCACCTCCTGGTTACCTCGCAATGTTGCTATGCCCATGGGAGTGGGGAACTTCATGCAGAGGTGAGACTAGGAAACCACGGCTCGGATTTCAGTCAGCGTGGGTCGGCCAATAACAACATTAAAGGAAGACGCCATCTTAACTACTAGAAACTGGACGGAAGGAGTCACGTAGGTTCGGCCACTCCCAAATGCAACATTCATGGTTAGGACACTTTCAACTGGAACTGGCTGGTTATTGAAACCATAGATGGGACCATCATATTTCTACAACAATGCTGGATTCAGTCCAAGACCCTCGAAACAGTGGAAGTACATGATATCTGGTGCACTCCCAATATCAACGAGGACACGCTGTACTTCACAATTGTTAATCATGGCAGATGTGACCAAAGGATCATTGTTGGGTGTAACAACTGTGTCGAAATCAGCAGATGTGAAAGTAACGGGTTGACTCTTCCAGTCAGCGTCGTCAAACTTCCATTTCTGAGCCCGGTTTTGATGCTTGACCTCTTTGACATACAGTTTTCGCTGTTTAGAGCTCAGTCCACTGGCTTCCAGGCCTCCCGTAATCATGTGTATGATTCTAGCTGGTGGTGGGAGTGGAGGTGGGGCTTGCTGATATCCCACGCCTTGCCTATTTGGGGGATTGCGGACTCCTTGAGGCTGTGGCCTCTGTTCTCGGACGAACCTCGGCTGTTCAACTCTCTGAACGTACTCATTCAGCATTCCCTTCTGAGCTAGACTTTCCAGTTCGAACTTTAAGCTGTTACATTGCTTTGTAGTATGGCCGTGATCTTGATGATAGTCACAATATCTGGTATGATCTCGGCTAGCAGCAACGGTCTTCATTGGACCAAGACGCCTTAAATCCATTTTATTCTTGATCTGCAAAAAAATCAGTGATCTCGGCAGATTAAAAAGAATCCAATTAACTGGAGGTTTACCTGCAGATTGTTGCGGGGGAGTAGAGTTCGGCCCTCTGAATCTCGGTGTAGAGGTCGACATCGGACCTCGGTTCTGTACCATCCTCATCCTTTTCCTACTCAGATCGTCGTCTCTCCATTCGGGGTGTTGGTTCTTAGAAGGGGCTGGTTTCTGCAACAAGGCATATTCTTCAGCAGTTATGAATTTCAATGATCTATCATTTACCTCGCTGAAGGTGGTAGCAGGATGTTTGAGCAGACTATCTTTGAATCTTTCATGGCTAAGTCTTGATATCACGGTTGTAATTCCCACAGCCTGGTTGAAAGAGCTAACCTTCAGTATTGCATCATTGAATCTGCTCATAAAATTCTTCAAAAACTCTCCGTCCTGCTACCTAACTCGCATGAGCTCAGAGGTGGTTTTCCTAATCAACCTTCAACTGGAAAACTTTGTGGCAAAAGCAGATGCCATTTCTATATAAGAGCTGATTGACCTTAGAGGTAGACTGTAGTACCAAGTTCGAGCATTGCCTCGGAGAGTAGAGGGAAAGATTTTGCACATCAACGCATCAGAGGCGTTTTGGGCTTGCATACAAGAATAGAAAGCATGTAGATGATCATCGGGGTACTTCGTCTCATCATAAATTTCAAGTTGTGGTATCCTGAAGCCAGCGGGGTAGGGTTCCAATGTAATGTTGGTGTTCAGAGGGTGGGGTATGGAGTCAACAGCATGGTGTGGAGGTAGGGCACCTCGCTGTTCAGCCACTAGCTTTTCTAAGCTATCTAGACGTCGAGTGACATCATCATGAAGGGGTTGCTGAACTGGTGCGATGTGAGATTGGCTCTAAGATTCGCTAATAGCAGGAGCATGCTGAACTGGCTCAGGATTTTGTTGCGGAGCTGGGGGTTGTGGAGCGGGATTAAGTAGGTTAATGAGTGGATCACCAGGATTGTTCCGGGCTAATAGCTGAGCCAGCATTAGCTGAAAGAAACCAAATTGTTGTTACATGGCAGCGAGCTGAGCTACAACTACATCTTGGTTAGCAGTAGAGGCTGAATTGTGAGCCGAATTGTGTGGTTGATTTTTATCTCCTCCTTCTGCATGATCAACAGGAGGGAACATAGCTGGGACCTGAGGAGGAGGTTGAGGTGGGAGTTGAGGTGGGATCAGAGGTGGAATGTTGTTGGGGGGTTGACTTTGCCCAAGAGGTAGAGATGAATTGCCAGCTCGGACTGATCTAGTGTGAACCATGACGAAAGAGCAACAAGAAAGCTTTCAGTTCGGATTCCCACAGACGGCGCCAAATGTAATTGCACCAAACCAGAAGTCCTTCTTCAGTCCGCGTCTGTACTCTGGAACGACTTGCAAAGCCCCGAAGTGGAACTCAGGGTAGACACTCCGATGCTTAAGTCAGCAATAATCGGGGCTACCTTTAGAGCGGAGATAAAAAGAGCTTAGGGTTGGTTTCAATTACCTTTTGACGTGGCCTGTGGGGGGTATTTATAGGATCCAATGAGGAACCCACGTGGCATGCCAAGCAAGATATTCGGGATCTAGTGTGTATCTTCAGACGGTTATTCCGGGACCGGGAATTTAAGAGGTATTCAGGTGCACGGACGTCTACCATACCTGTTGTGCAGCTCATCATAAGGAATCAGATGCGAGCATGCTTATTGTCATTGTCATGCAGCTATTCGAGCGGGAAGCTTTGGATTTATCCTTTACTTCGGTCATAAAGGGATTACTGTAGTAGTCTGAGGCTTGACACCTCGAACATGTCCTTACAACTACCAATTCAACCAAATAGTACCATGATCATGTCTCAACTGGCTACTATGTATTCTCAAGTTATATATATATATATATATATATATTTTATATTGGTTGCATAACGAGAAGTAATCATCTTTCATTTTTTATCACACTCTACCTGCATACCATGCGATTCGAACTCAAAATATTTTACTTTCAACGAAAGAAGATGATCACTGAGTTACTGATGCCGTTGGTTACTCTTAGGTTATATATATATATTTGATATTACATGAAACTTTATATTCATATGAGTAAATATGCTCATGCCTGGGAGGCGCCCACGCTTCCAACCTTTCCTTTTTTCTTTTTTCTTTTTTCTTTTTTCTTTTTTTTTTTTTTGTTTTAAAATGAAGATTAAAACATCTAGGACAATTAGTTGCATGGAAATTACCGATCTTAAAGAATATTTGCCCGC